CTGCAGCCCGCTGTCCCCTCAGTGTGCGGGATTGCCTCCGCGATGAATCGCGGCGATGTTATGCGGGGTTGGGACGGGTGATGCCGAGCGGGTGTTGCAGAAGCCCGCGGAGCTCCTAAGCTCCTGCCTCTACGGGCGGTCGTGAAACCTTCTCTCCTTGAGCGGGCTGTTAAAAACAACAACAAATATCAATCGGAATGAAGCAGGGGACCAGTGAGACACCGAGAAGCACCAGCGGAATCGGATGGCAGATCGACGGACGGTCACTTTTTCTTTAAAATACATAAGTATTTTAAATAAAAAATAAAATAGTAATAACAAACCCACGGCGCGCAGCCCGAGAACCTGCAGGCACCGGCCGGACTATCGGGGTAGAACCTCCTGTAAGAAAGTCAGCCCCGGCCCCGACGCACCGCTCCTCCCGCCCCACTGCAGCCTGGGGCAGCCCCCGGCGGCTCCGCACGGTGCCGGGAAGCAGCGAGGAAGCGGCAGGGCAGCTCCCGGGGCGGGGGCGAAGGTGCCCGCAGCGCCCGCAGCGCAGGGAGCGGTGAAGCTTTACCCCGTGGTTACGCTGCTAGAGGAATCATCGAATATTTATGAATTGCCGTCTGAACGACGGCAACGGTTAATCCGTTCCTCGCCGCGGGAACAGCACCGCGCCGCTCCGTGCTGCCTTGCGTGGAACCTTGCGCTGGGGTTCCGTATTGCTCGGTACCTCCAGGGGGAGCTGCAGCACCGCGGGCCGCCGCCGGGCGCGGAGCTCAGGGCGGCCCCCGCAAACCGCGCTGCCGTCGGGGCCGGTCCCGAGCTTCGGACGGGGGAAGGCGCGGGGCGGGAGGGGCCGTCCGGGTGGGCGCGGGGCGGCGAGGCAGAGGTTGCTGGAATCCTCGACGTTCGACTCTCCTGGGCGCCTGCGGACGGAACCAGACCCCGGTGGAGCGGCCCCGACGGTGCCTCTCCACTGCCGGGAGCCGCGGGTCCCCTCGAGCTCCGGTGGCTGGGAGGTGCCCGGCCCCGCACCTGCAGCCCGCGGCAGCCGCGTCCCAGGCCGGGGCTGTCCGGAGCCGGAGAACTCTCGGGGCGGCGTGTGACCCCGCGCTCGGTGCTTGCCCCAGGCCGGCAGCGGCCCGACGAGATGCGGCCCTGGAGGTCTCTCTGAGCCGCCTCGTTCTCCTCTGCTATTCCGTTTGTTTTGAGGCTTTTTCGTTCTTGGAGGTTCGGTTTGGTTGGTTTGGTTCGCTTAGGTTCGTTGTGTGTTTTGTGCTTTTTCCCAACTAGCGTGGCTCATTTTAACTCGCTGTAAACACGCTGTAAATTGCTGAAAACGCGAAGTCCCCACACCGCAGCGGCCCTAAAGAGCCGCGGGAAGGGATCCAAGAGACCTGCGGACCCCGCGACAGTGTCAGTGTCAGTGACAGCGGCTCCGGTTCGACCGCCCCGCATAGCAAGCGCCGGGGATGGTTCCTTCTCCCCAAGCCCCGGCCCGGAGCGTCGCCGCTCTGCCCACAGCACGAAGCGCTATCACTACGGGGCGGCGGGGCAGCAGCTGCGCGTTTTCGCGGTGGTTCTGTAGGAATGGGAACGAATCCCGGCCCGAGCGGCCGTCACGCCGCGGGCACTCTTCCAAAGTCGCCGCCGCCGGCTTCGTTCCTCCGTCTGTTTCCCGTTTTTGCGTGAAATAAGAAAAAGTTCCCAGCGCGGCCGTCGCGGGTGTCCCCTTCACTTCGGCGCGCTGAATTCATCGCCACGCACCGCACCTGGAGACGTTCTCGGAGCTGTTCGCCTACACCATTCCTCCGTACAGCTTTTCATACCCCTCAGAGTCTCTCTCCATTCTCCTCCCACGACACATCACGAATCCCCCCCGTTGGGGACCGAAGCAGCGCACAGACCAAGATAACGTTATTGCTAAAAACTCGGCCGAAATCCGCGCACCGCCGCTATCGGGGACAACGAACGCGACGCTCCTCGGCCCGGAACGCGCGGGGCGGCGGGGAGGCCCCGTTCAACGGCGAATTCCCCGCCGTGACCCCGACCCCCGCAGCCCTCCGCCCGCCCGGGTGCGGGCTGCATGCGGGGCACGGCGCGGCCCGGTACCTCCGCGCCGAACGCGTCTTTCGGCTGCTGAATGCCGGTTAAAAAGCGAAGCTGGGACTGGAAGGGGCGGCCGTGGGTGACCCCGATGTGCGGGCCGCGGGCCCTCGGGAAGGAGCGTTACCTGCGGGCGCGCCTGCTCTCGGGGATCCACGCTCGGGTCTTTGGGGGCTTTTCTCCTCCGCCGCGGTGCCCGCTCCGGGCTGCGAGGGGCACGGCGGGGGCGGGTTGGGGGTCCGCGCCACGGGGCACGGCGAGGGGAGCGGGGCGGCGGGGAGCGGCGGAGGCCGCGGGGGGGGGGGGGGTGTGACCCCCGGGGACACGCGGGGGGCGGGGGGGAAGAGCTGCCCCTTCAAAGCCCAGTTGCTACCCAAACACAAGTAAACAGCGAGGCCGGCGCGGCGGGGCGGGCCGGGGGCGGGCCGTCGGGGCGCGCCGCGGGGTGGGCCTGCGGCGGGCGGGCGGGGACAGCTCTCCCCGCCACTCAGCGCTGTAAATGTGATGGACCGGGCAGGGGGCGGCTCAGAGCGCGCCGAGCCTCGCCGGGCTCGAAGGCAGCAGCGGGCTGCGGGCGGGAGGCGGCCGTCAGCGCCCGGCGCCCCGGGAGCGCCGCGGCCACAGCCCCCCCCGTTCTGCCCTGCCCTGCCCGCCCCGGCCCTGCCCGGCCCTCCCAGCCATGCCCCGGGCCCGCCGAGCCGCCCCGCTGTGGATCTAATGTCCCCGTGAAGGTGCCGGAGGCCCGGCAGGAGCTGCCCGCTGCGGTACGTGAGCGCTGCCCGTCGGCGCGGGGTCGCTTTCAGTTCGCGGCTCAGCGCGGAGTCCCCTCCTTCCGTCCCCGGGTCCTGGAGAGCCCGAGGAGGGCTTTGCCCGTGAGTTTTCCACGGGGCGGGACGGGGCCCCGCTCCGCGCTGAGCCCGGCGGTGGAGGGCCGCGATCTGGGCGTGGAGGCGGGGAGTGGGATCCGGGCCTGAAGGGATCCGGTCGGAAAGGCCGTGCGGGCAGGTGGGGAGCGGGCGTGGGGCGGCGGGATTCGGCCGGTGCGCGCTGTGCGGGAAAGGGAAAAGGAAGTGCCAAGGTTTAAGGAACATCCGTTTGGGGTTGGCTTTTCCCCCCTCGCCTCGTTGAAAGTAACCTCAAAATCCCGTTTGCGGGCCGTTTCGATCGGGTTTAATAAAGGTCCCTCCAAGGATGAACAGTGGCATGTGTACCGTGGCCAGGCGACGGGTGCGGATCGAAAAGTTTGGGCGTTACAATGGGAATGGAGCTGGAAGTGTTGCGGACGGGCGATGGGCTCCGACCCTCGGCACCCAACGCGCGGGACCGAGGGGCACCGGGCCAGACCCCCCGCAGCGCTGTGCCTGAGCAGGGACCCGGCCCAGGAGCGCTGCCCCTGAGACTTCGCTTCGGCCCTGGGGGCCGCCGCAACCGGGGAGGGATTTTCCCCGCTCCGCGTTGAGTTGCGCGGCAGATAGAGAATAGGAGCCAAAGCTGCGATATCTCTAAAAGACATCTTAAAAAAGACATCCTTAAAAATTAGTTCAGTTTATAAGAATTCTTAAAAAAAAAAAAGAAAGAAAAAAGAAAAAAGAAAAAGAAAAACGGAGCGGCTCTATAGAGCGGCCGTACCGATACCACAGCCCGCGATCCCGATACGGGAGAGAGCGATACGGGAGCCGGGCGGCAGCGTCGAACCGCGACCCGAAGGGAACGAAAACGGAGCGGGGAGCGGAGCGCTCGGGGCCGAGCGGGGCCGGCGGGGGCAGTCAGGACAGAGAAAGGACAGGGGAGTGACAGAGCGGCGACTGAGAGACATCGCTCTCCCGGCCGTGCGTGCGCGGGGTCGGGCTGCGCGCTGCGAGCGCTTCCTGTATGCGCTGCTGAGTCTGAGGGCTGGTTTTGTGGTTTTTAATTTTGCTTTTATTCTTTATAATTGTTTTTGTAAATATTTGAAAATAATTACTTAAATAATTTTTTTAATAATGATTTTTATAACGATTTTTTACGTTTTCTTTTCGGAAGCCACGCGTTGCCCTCTGCCCGGCTCCCAGGAGGAGCCCTCGGCCCCGCCGCGCACAGGCCCCGTCGCTGCTTTCCGCTCCCCATCTCGGGGCTGCCGCCGCGGACAGGAGCCCCTCCGTACGCACGGCCCCGGACCCCGCTGGGGCCGCCCGAGGGCTGAGCCCGCTGCCCGCCGCGGGGCTGCCGGGAGGCCTCGGGCCGGGCTGTGTGGGGCGGCCGCGGCCATCTGGAAGGGATCTGAGCGCAAAGTGGATTTATTTAGGACCCGCGGGCGGGAGGTGGGGGGGGCGAGGGGGAAGGGCGGGGGTGGGAGGTGTGCGTGCGTGTGGGGCAGGAACTGTTTTTCTCCCCCTCGATTATCTTGACAAATGACCCGGTGCCGAGGGAAGAAAAATAAGCACCGCGCGGGGAGCAGCGCCCGCCGCCCCCCCGCCCCGCGCCTGGGTCGTCGGCCCTGGGGCTGCGGCGGGGCCGGGGCTGCGCGGAGCGGGGCAACGCGCTGCGGCCGCGGGGAGCGGAGCTGCCCCGTCCGCGCGTCGCGCGATCCGCGCGCACTTCTGCACGCACCTGAAGGGTTTCTTTCTTTTCAAATTGTTTTGCCCGAAGATTTTAGGATTTAAAAGGAA